AAACACAACAATAACTTGCACGCAACAATCCACTGCTTTGCAACTAGATTTTAAAATGTCTTCAGTTAGGATGAGTTTTGGTGGGCTCTGTGCTCCTTAAGTCCCCTAGAGCTCATTTTCTTAAGCTTCTTTATCTGACTACTCTGACCTGAGGGCACCTCACAACGGGGTCTCAGAACGTTCTCGGCCTCTCATTTCTTCATCTGAAATCTTGCTCTGAAACGAGATAGCCAGGGTGCCTTGGCCTTTGTGGAAGGCTGAGAATTGTCCTTCAACATATGTTATGGGCTGAATTCCAGTCCCCAAATTCATACTTCAAATTTCCAACCCCCAGGTCCTCCAAATATGACTATATTTGGAGAAAGTGTTTTTAAAGAGGCAATTAAACTAAAATGAGATTATTTGGGTGACCCCTAAACCAATTGAACTGGTGTCCTTATAGAAAGAGGAAAACTTGGACATAACTATGCTTGGAGGGAGGATGGTGTGTGAACGTAAACAGAACTCAGAAGAAGCCCAGGCTGTCAACACTTCGATCCTGGGCTTCTAGCTCCCAGAACCGTGAGAAAATACACTTCCATTGCATTTCTGTTGCTTAAGCCACTCAATCTGTGATGCTTTGTCCTGACAGCCCTAGCAGACTAATACAATATCTATTCTCCCCTTCTTCATTTTAAAAATAGAGTTTCTTTAGTTTTAGCTAAACGTGTAGCTGCCCAGCTAGAGACCATGCATCCCAGCCTTGCGTGCAGCAGGGCTGAGCCATGTGACTAAGACTCAGCCAATGGGGTGTGAGGAGAAGTGATGGGCCAATTTCCAGGTCCTAACTTTCGAGTGAAAGCTGCTTGCCCTCCACTTTTCTTTTCTTCCTGCTGGTGAGGAGATGGCCACAAGCAGAGCAGCTTCCTTGGAAGGCACTAGCTAAGCTCTCCTCCAACACTTGACCGCCCTCCTCTATACCCAGGACTTGATGGAGAAAAATGTTGCTACCTTATCTAAGCCTCTTTTGGGTATTCTGCGCTTCTTGATTATGGCAGCTCAGCCTGCCTTTGGGCTAACTGATTGTTCTCCCTCCACCCCCCAGATGCTCTAGTTCCCAGGTTCCCTAGAAATACCTGGCTGTGGGGAGAGCAGAGACTGCTAGAGCTGAGCTCAGAGTAGAGACTGCCAGAGATCAGGTGGACGGAGGCCCGGATTTGAGACGGACCTCAGAGACAGCCTGGCTTCCCTTCCCACGGAGGGCAGGTACAGAAATCTCATCTGTGTGGCCGCAAGTTCTTATCCAGCTTCTATCGGTATGACCCCACACAGATCGGTATGGCCCAGGAGGTCAGCTTTCACGCAGGTGTGGTCTGAGTGTGTGTGGACCACACCTGTGGTCAGATAGTCCATCCTTGTGAGATCTGAAATTAGCCTCCTATAACTATGCCCCCTGCTTCACCTTTAGGTGAAATAAAACTAAGGTTTCAAGCATCTAGAAGACTGCATTGTTGAATAGAAGGCTTCCCAAAGGTCTCCATTCTGTGTCCTCAGGGGCACAGAAACTGTAGTCATAACATGTAGGCCAAAAGACATACTAGAAGTTCCATTAAATAAGCAGTTACTCCCAAACGGCTTAATGAGCATACCCTAACAGCTTAAAATAACTCACATATACTGAAAGAAAAAAATATTTTGACTTTGTTCTTAAATAATCATTATTACTTTTTAATAGGATGTGCATCTATTGGGCATTGCACAGCTTCTCAGACCTTAGAATCAGATTGGACTGAGCCACCCCTCGTTTCCTGTTCCAAAACTGACTTTTATTTGGCACTTGCTTTTTATTGCAGCAACCGCTGAAAATCCATTGGACCCCACAGGACAGGGAAGCCTGACGTGCTGCCGTTCGTCAGATCACAAAGGCGCGGGGTTGGGCATGACTCAGAGACTGAATAACAGCAACTGAAAGTCCAGCTTCACAAAGATACGATACCATCAAATAGACTAATCTGATCTAATGTTGAAAATGCAAGCTACACGGAGCCAGTAATTTACATGAGGGTAAACAGATGTTCCTTCAAATTTTTAAAATATCCTGTAGGATGCTTGTGAATTTCTATGGTATCTTGCAGTGCTTCTGTGCACAATGGGGGAACCATGGCTGGGAACTAGTTATTGAAAGTCTTCTGCTGCTGCTGCTGCTAAGTCGCTTCAGTCGTGTCCGACTCTGTGCGACCCCATAGACGTCAGCCCACCAGGCTCCGCCGTCCCTGGGATTCTCCAGGCAAGAACACTGGAGTGGGTTTCCATTTCCTTCTCCAATGCATGAAAGTGAAAAGTGAAAGTGAAGTCGCTCAGTCATGTCTGACTCTTAGTGATCCCATGAACTGCAGCCCACCAGGCTCCTCTGTCCATGGGATTTTCCAGGCAAGAGTACTGGAGCGGGGTGCCATCACCTTCTCCGTATTGAAAGTCTACCTGGGTTCAAATCTTGTCGGTTTCCACATCTATAAAATTTGTAAAATAATGGTGCCTACTTCCTATGGGTCTTGTGAAAATTAAATGAGATGATAGGGGACTTCCTTGGTGGTTCAGTGGTTAAGAATTTGCCTTGCAATGCAGAGGACGCAGGTTCGATCCCTGGTCTGGGAACTAAGGTCCCACAGGCGGCAGACTAAGTAAGCCTGCACGCCCCAACAACCAAGCCCACGCATCACAACTTGAGAGTCCAGGCACCTCGACAGAAGGTGTCACGTGACACCAGGAAGATCCCACCTGCTGCAGCTAAGACCCGCTGCAGCAAAATGAATAAACGAGGTGATACATCTTAAAATGTTCAGCACAGGATCTGACAAAGAGAAGTATTTTGTGTTCGGCTTCTATTCCTACATAACAAACGACTACATAAACTTAGAGGCTTTAAACAACACACATTCATCATCTCACAGTTTCCATCAGGGGATGTGGCTTAGCTCAGTTCTCCGTACCCGGGAATTACTGGGCTGCAGTCAGGTCTTGGCCAGGGCACAGGATCACCAGGGACTCGGATGGGAAGAGTCCCTTCCAAGCTCCCTCAGGTTGGTGGCAGAATTCCTGTCCTCAGAACCGCAGGACCGAGTCTCTGATGTATCACTGGCCGTCGGTCAGGGACCGCTTTCAGCTTTTACGGCCATCCTCAGCTTCCTGTCACGTAACCCCCCTCACAGGCAGTCTGCGTGGCAGCGGCTTGCTTGTTCCAGGCCAGTGGGAGCATTTCTCTTTCCCGTCCTCAGAGACAGTCTCACATAACGAAAGCTAACCTTGGGAGCGGCGTTTGCCATGTGAAAGGACCTCACTGGGAGACGGGCCTGCCCTCACCTCCTCATCTCACACTCTGCTCCGCAGAAGAAAGCCCAGGCGGCACCCAGGCTCCCAGAAGATCACTGCAAAACGGCAGGACTCACCGGGCCACCTTAGGTTACGGCTGCCATGGGTGGGGAAGCAGCGGCAAGCCCTCCGCTCTTCTCCAGGCTAAATACATGCCGGGGCGCCGGCCGCGGCCGCTGAGTATCACCCCCCATGCTGAGAGCAGAAGACTTCTGCCTTGGGAGGAGACGGGGCTGGGGGTGCAGTGAAGCTTACTGTGTGGGGGCTGGGGGTGCAGTGAGGCTGTGCCGTGTGGAGGCTGGGGGTGAGTGAGGCTTAATGTGAGGGGGCTGGGGGTGCAGTGAGGCTTACTGTGAGGGGGCTGGGGGTGCAGTGAGGCTTCCTGTGTGGGGGCTGGGGGTGCAGTGAGGCTGTGCCGTGTGGAGGCTGGGGGTGAGTGAGGCTTAATGTGAGTGGGCTGGGGGTGCAGTGAGGCTTACTGTGAGGGGGCTGGGGGTGCAGTGAGGCTGTGCCGTGTGGGGGCTGGGGGTGCAGTGAGGCTTCCTGTGTGGGGGCTGGGGGTGCAGTGAGGCTTACTGTGAGGGGGCTGGGGGTGCAGTGAGGCTTCCTGTGTGGGGGCTGGGGGTGCAGTGAGGCTTCCTGTGTGGGGGCTGGGGGTGCAGTGAGGCTTACTGTGAGGGGGCTGGGGGTGCAGTGAGGCTTACTGTGAGGGGGCTGGGGGTGCAGTGAGGCTTACTGTGTGGGGGCTGGGGGTGCAGTGAGGCTTACTGTGAGTGGGCTGGGGGTGCAGTGAGGCTTCCTGTGTGGGGGCTGGGGGTGCAGTGAGGCTTACTGTGAGTGGGCTGGGGGTGCAGTGAGGCTTACTGTGAGGGGGCTGGGGGTGCAGTGAGGCTTACTGTGTGGGGGCTGGGGGTGCAGTGAGGCTTACTGTGAGGGGGCTGGGGGTGCAGTGAGGCTTACTGTGAGGGGGCTGGGGGTGCAGTGAGGCTTACTGTGAGGGGGCTGGGGGTGCAGTGAGGCTTCCTGTGAGGGGGCTGGGGGTGCAGTGAGGCTTCCTGTGTGGGGGCTGGGGGTGCAGTGAGGCTTACTGTGTGGGGGCTGGGGGTGCAGTGAGGCTTCCTGTGTGGGGGCTGGGGGTGCAGTGAGGCTTACTGTGTGGGGGCTGGAGGTGCAGTGAGGCTTCCTGTGTGGGGGCTGGGGGTGCAGTGAGGCTTACTGTGTGGGGGCTGGGGGTGCAGTGAGGCTTACTGTGTGGGGGCTGGGGGTGCAGTGAGGCTTACTGTGAGGGGGCTGGGGGTGCAGCATGGCTGTGTTGTGTGGGGGCTGGGGGTGCAGCATGGCTGTGCTGTGTGGGGGCTGGGGGTGCAGCATGGCTGTGTTGTGTGGGGGCTGGGGGTGCAGCATGGCTGTGCTGTGTGGGGGCTGGGTCCCATGAGGACTGGAAGATGTGACACGTGGGGGCACGTCTGTTCCCACTCAGCTTATCCACCTTCCACTCACTGACTCAGCCGTGTCAGGGGAACCATGTCTGTGATGGAGCTCCTGCTCTGGCCCCAAGTGTGAACGAGGATTAAGGGAAATCCTCACAGTCCCCTCCACCACGGGCCTCCCACCCACCCTGGGCACAGACCACACAGCTTACGTCCGTTCAGACTCGACCTGGAGCGCCTTTCCCAGCCTGTGACTCCTCTGGGGTCAGGGAGCTGCCAGTCCTCATCCAGAGCTGTGGTCATTCGTTTGACACAGACGCTGTCAGAGGCCATCGGCCCTGGGGGGGAGCAGAGGGGAGAGATGCAGAGCGGCCGGCTCGGGGTCAGGACTCTGGGGCCCTTGAGGAGCTTGTTGCGGGAGCTCAGTTCCTTCACGGAGGATGGGGTGATCCGAGCCAGTGGCTGCTGAACTTCCTACCCTGAAAACCCGTTCTCATCATCCTCCCCGCACAGACATTTTGAAAAGCTGTGTCTACCCAAACCAGCTACACAAATTAAAACATAGTCAACTGATTTCCCCATGAAATCAGCAGTGTCGTACTTGAGTCGCTATCATTCCAAACGCTGAGAAGCAACTGCTCTGGCCCACCCCGGTAGCCAGCGGGCGTGCGACTGAGTACAAGGTGTTAGAAAGTGAAGGATACTCATGGCCCCCAGGACTGCCGCTGGGTCCTCTGTGCGTGCAGGGGCCCAGCCTTCCCGATACTTCCTCAAGAGGTATGTAAGCCACTGGCTAACCCTCCGGATGATTTAGGTGGTATGTCATATTTATAGGTACCTATTGATTTTAATATGCAATAATAAAACTTCAAACTAGCCCATCAAACCAGTGAGATAATACCCATTTTAAATAAGCTGGGAAAACTGTCCAGAGCAAATAAGGACCAGTCCCAATGGAACATGGCTCAGAAACACCGAGGGTTGTATGCAAATGCCTGGTGTCTGGGAAACCGTGGCTTCCCTCACCCCAGGGACGCCTCCCCTCTCCCCTGTGAGGTTGTGTGACTGCGCGTCCTTCCTCCAGCCCCAGACAGACCGCCCCAGGTGCTCTTGGCTTCTACAAGAACTGGGTCTTTAGCCACACTGGGAAAGTGGCGCTCGGAATAGTCAGACCAGCTAACCACCTCTTTGATGTCTGTGTTTTGAATCGCTGATCATCTTTCTTTCGAGAGTCCTAGGTTTGTCATCCCTATAATTTGCTGTCAAATATCAGACTGCAAAAGCAAAACACGACAATGGTCAGGGATGTTTTTGTCCTGAGACTTTAAAAAGTAATGATGCAGTTCTCACTAAAGATCAAACGCAAGGCTGTTGCACTCAGAAGCACGTCAAGAACAGGGTTGCCTTGATGCTTTCCCCGACCTCCCCTGCAAGACACATTAGGATGCTGGCTTTGAAAGTCTTTTGCTTTCTTCTTTCTACTCCCCAGCATTTTTCCTGGCAAGAAGCTGACAGTGAAAAAGTGCCAACTAAGCCTGGAGCCCCGACGCTGGACATTACCAGGAGGCCAAATGAGATCTCTGGCAGTCTGTCTCGGGGACGTCCACGGGCCCCCCGTGTCAGCTCAGCACCGTGGACAGAGCCAGACGCACACTCTTGATTTATCTGTGCTCGCTGTGTTCCTCGGAAGCACATTTTTTAAAGGGAGGAAATTGGCATTTTTATATTTCTCGTGGGATACCTCCTCCCTATCTGTAATGGTTTGGAAATGCTTTTAAGAAACCCAGATGATGAGGTAAGAAGGAACTCTTTCTTCTGGCCTCGGGGTTCCCGAGAGAAGGATGAAGTGGGCCGACAGCAAGGGCCTCAGAGCAGCACCCTTCCCCGAGCCGAGAAGACCCGCCAGCCCACGGCCGGCCCGCCCTGCTCCGGGGCTGCAGCGGGCGGAGGGCTCAGCCCGCGGGGAGTGAGCGCCGCGGCGGCCTGCCTTGCTCGGAGGCCGGCGCTGAGAAAGGCGCAGGGGCAACACAGGCTTCGGGTTTGAGGGAAGCAGGGTGGGCGCCAGGAGAGCGGGCTCAGCCCTCTGAGAGAGTTAAAGGCTCCGGCCTCTCCGGGGGAGGGCGCGCGCGGGCAGCGCCCCGCCCTCTTCCGCCCCTTCGAGCTCTGCGGCCCGGCCCGAGCTCCCCGCAGCCCTGGATTCCCTTGCCTGCCTCCCGCTGTGCCTCAGGCTGGGCCCAGAAGCCCAGCAAAGTGAGAGGGCGCCACAGCTCACAGACGGACTGTTCTACAAGGGCTGAGCGGGTGGAGGAGAGAGCCTTAACACACTCCCCCGACCCCCACCCCGGGAGCCTGTTGGTCTGTATTACTGTTGGAATCTGGGGGAGTATATTCACCTTATGAGGGCTTCCCTGATAGCTCAGCTGGTAAAGAATCTGCCTGCAGTGCAGGAGGCCTGGGTTCCATCTTTGGGTTGGGAAGGTCCCCTGGAGAAGGGAAAGGCTGCCCACTCCAGTGTTCTGGCCCGGAGAATCCCATGGACTGGGATTCAAAGAGGCAGACACAACTGAGCAACTCTCACTCACTCACTCATTCACCTTACGAAAGCTCTTTTATGTCAGCTATGACAGTAACAGCCACTGGAATCTCTCACATGAGTAAAACTCGAGTTCCGTTTCAAGGACCTGTCCTACCGTTGCCTCATTCATCCTCAAAGCAGTTCTAGTGCAGGACACACTCAAGGACTTCCCGTGTTTGACCATCTACCAGGACGGCTGTTGACGGAGAGAATTCACAGGAATTCCCCGACCTTCAGGCCCACACAGTGAAGCAACGCCTTCAGATCACTGGCCCACAGATGCCAAAGCGGGGGTTGGAGGGGTCAAAGGTTGGGAACCATGAAAGTTTGAGACTGTCTTGATGGTGAAAGGGGATTCTCTTAACAACTGGGACCACAGGACAATCCTAGGCAAGCTCGGAAGTGCAGTCACCGAATCTAAGACGAAGGGACCTGGCCAGCGCTGCCTCCCTGCCTGGCACGTTCTGGGCCCCTTTTTTGGCAACATATTAACTCTGTGATGTTGAACTTGTACGAACTGAGATTTAGGATGCATGGAGATGAAGAGGGGTAGACTTCCAGAAAACACATCTAAAAGAGAATACAGGGAAAAAGAAAATCATTGCTCATTGGAACTGAACCCTGTGGAAAGGTATTGGGAATATAATTCTGGGCCAGAAATTTGACTCTGCTCAAATACAGAACCACTTTGCTATAAACTGCTTCCCTTTCATTCTCTCATCAGCCCGGAGTCACCCATCTTGGGCTACTGTGCCCAGCTGATCACAAAGGCCGTGCCCTCTCACAGGGCCCCGAGGAGCCGGGCGGTGGGCACTGCAGGGACTAGCGCAGCTGAAGGCTGACCTGGCACATGAGAAAGCAAAGCGTGCCCAGCTGTGGGCCAGGAATAAGCGAGGTCAGCGTGTGTGCTCGAAACCGCCCTCCAAATTCTAGTCACCTAGTCTGCATGTGGCAGGGGGCACGGCTCCAGTCTAAAACACATGTAGGATGCAGACACTGGCTCCAGTTGGAACCATGTCCCTGGAGGACTCAGGCCTCTGTTACTCGGGGATAATCAGAGGCCTGCAACCCTCTAAGGCCTATGGCCAGGCAGATGATCAGGGAGTCATGATCAGCATGGGAGACTGGAGAGATTTCAGACACACAGAAGTCTGTCCGTCACATGATGCCCAATGGATAAAATCCATTCAGAGAGGACAATTTATATGCCTTTGTTTTTAAGATGGCCACTCAGAGGGGTGGGATAGGGTGGGATGGGGTGAGAGGGAGGGAATGTATGTATGCTTACGGCTGATTCACATGGTTGTATGGCAGAAACCAACACAATATGTAAAGAAATTACCCTCCAATTGGAAAAAAATAACAAACAAACAAACAAGCGTCTATATAACCTAGCTCTTCTTCTCGCCTCCTCGGAGCAGTCCTCTCAAAGTTACTTGAGATGCTGTCTCACAGGCTTGAAGTCATAAAACTTACCCACCAAATAAAACATAACTCTCAAAAACACACAAGAAAGAATGCCAACCCCAAGGCCAGCATTACTTTTATACCAAAACCAGACAAGGATACCACAAGAAAAAATTATAGGCCAACATTGCTGATGAAAATATATGCAAAAATCTTCAGTAAAATATTAGCAAACCAAATTCAGCAGGATTGTTGAAAAAGACACTTTTAAAAGAACCATATATCATAATCAGGTGAAATTTATTCCCAGGGTAAAAAGATAGTTTGACATTTACAAACCAATCAATGTGATTCACCATGTTAACAAAATGATGGATAAAAACCGTATGATGATTTCAATAGATGCAGAAAAAGCATTTGACCAAATTCAACGATTTATGATAAAAACTCTCAACAAAGTGGGTATAGAGGAAATGTACTTCAACATAATAAAGGCCAGATATGACAAATCCACAGCTAACTGCATACTCAGTGACTGTAAGTTGAAAGTTTTTCCTCTAAGATCAGAAATGAGACAATGCCCACTCTTACCACATATTAGAAGTCTTGCCAGACCAATTAGACAAGAAAAACAAACAAGACATTCAAATCAGAGACAAAGAAGTAAAACTGTCAGTATTTGCAGATAACATGACATTTTACATAGAAAACCCTGAAGACTCAAAAAAAAAAAAAAGAAAAAAGAAAACCGAATTAATCAAAGAATTCAGTAAAGTTGCAGGATACAAAGTTAATATACAAAAATCTGTTGCACTTCTATACACTAATAACAAACTAACCAAAGGAGAATGGAAGAAAACAATACTATTTACAATTGCATCAAAAAGGATATCTAGGAATAAATTTAACCAAGGAGGTCAAAGACTTGTACATTAAAATTATTAAACACTGATGAAAAAATTGAAGCAGACACAAATAGATGGAAAAATAACCATGCTCATGGATTTTAAGAATCAATAATATTAAAATGTCCCTATTACCCAAAGAAATCTAGGAATTCAACACAGTCCTTATCAAAATTCTAAGAGCATTTTTCACAGAAGCACAAACAAGCCTAGAATGTGTATGGAGCCAGCCATAAAAAATCCCAAGAATCCAGAGCAATCTTGAGAAAGAACAAAACTAGAGTCATCATGCTCTCAGATTTCAAACTCATTGCAAAGCTATAGTAATCAAAAGGGTATGGTGTTGGCATAAAAACAGACGCAGAGATCACTGGGACAGAATAGATGGCCCAGAAATAAACCCACACATATATGCCAAATTAATTTATGACAACAGAGCCAAGAATATATTCTTGGTACAATGAGGAAAGAACAGTCTCCTCAGTAAATGCTGGTGGGATAACTGGACAGCCACATGCACATGCAAAAATAAACTCAAAATAGGTTAATGACTTACATGAAGACATGAAGCCATAAAACTCCTAGGGAACAACACAGGTGGTCAGCTCCTTGATACAAGTCATGGTGATGCTTTTTTGGATTTGACACCAAAGCAAAGTAACAGAAGCATGGGTTATATCAAACTGAAAAGCTTCTACAAAGCAAAAGAAACCATCAAGAAAATGAAAAGGCAACATACTAAATGGTAGAAAATATTTGCAAATCATGTACTTGATAAGGGGATACTATTCAAAATATAGGGAGAACTCATGCAACTCAATAGCAAATAATAATGGCAGAGAATCTGAATAGACCTTTTTCCAAAGATGACATAGACAGGGCGAACACGTATGTGAAAAAGGGCTCAACATTGCTAATCATCAGGGAAATGCAAATGAAGACCACAGTGAACTATCACTTTGCATCTGTCAGAAGGGCTGTTATCAGAAAGAAATAACAAATGCTGGAAGGATGTGGGGAATAGAAAACACTTGTGGACCACTGGTGGCAATGTAAATCGCTTCAGCCACTATGGGGGAAAAAAGCATGGAGTTTCCTTGACAAATTAAAAATAGAACTACCAGCACTTCCATGTCTGTGTATTTATCCAAAGAATACAAAAAACACTAACTCAAAAAGATGTATGCACCCCCTAGTTCATTGCAGCATTGTTTACAATAGACAAGACATGGAAGTAATCTAAGTATCCAATCTATAGATGAGTGGATAAAGAAAATGTGGTATTCAAATACAGTGGAAATTAGTCAGCCATAAAAAAGAGTGAAGTCTTGTCATGTGTGACAACATGCATGGAATCTGAAGACAGTATTCTCAGTAAAATAAGTCAGATAAGTGAGTGTGATCTCACTTATATGTAGAAAGGAATGAAGGAAGGAACCAAATGAATGAACTTACAAAAACCAGCTTGGTGGTTGCCAGAGGCTGAGTTGGGCTTGGGAGGGGGTTCTTGGTGAAACAGGTGATGGGGGTCAAAGGGAACAAACTTCCACTTAAGTCCTAGGGGACTCTAGCTGGCTACACCGTGTTGCGTATTTGAAAGCTGCTGAGAGTAAATCTTAAAAGTTCTCCCAATAAAAAATACCTGTAACTATGTGTGCTGTCAGGTGTTCACTAGACGTCTGGTGATTATTTTGCAATACGTACAAGTATCAACTCATTATGTTGTATACCTGAAACTAATATAATGTGATATGTCAATTACAGCTCAATTAAAATACAAAACCAAAAAAAAAAAAGCAACAACAAACCTGTTTGCGGCTTACAGCAATAGTAGTAGGCAGAGTAATAACTTGCCTGCCCTCAAATCCTGATTCCTACGAAGCAACGCGGGTAGACCAGGGGCTGCCCCAACACAAGCGAAGGGCATTATCCAGTCTCGTCTAAGTGCTTCTGGAAAACCTGCCCACCCCCTTTCCAGAGAGAGGGACCACCGTGGAATGTAAGCAAGTCTGCTCTGAGGAGAGGTGGGGGATGTCTCCACCATTAGTAACCTGTAATGCAAGAGACGGGCTCCCCTGGTGGCTCAGCTGGTAAAGAATCCGCCTGCAATGTGGGAGACCTGTGTTCCATCCCTGGGTTGGGAAGATCCCCTGGAGAAGGGAACCCACTCCAGTATTCTGGCCTGGAGAATTCCATGGACTGTATAATCCATGGGGTCACAAAGAGTCGGACACGACTGAACGACTTTCACTTTCACCATCAGGCCTAAGAAAGGCATAGTCTTTAATTAAAAAATACTTTATTGCTCAAAAGTGCTCTCATTTGAGGCTTCAACAATTCCTAGTAGGCTAATTTCACAGAAATCCCTCTCCATTCACGCGGGGTGCACGCTGAGATAAGCCCCGGGCTCCTCTCGCCCCGTCCACAAGGACCCTGCCAACCCAGTGACGCCCCGTGCTAGGCCGGTGTCCCCCGCGGCCTGCTGTCCCGCACACCTCGCCGGTCCGCTCAGCCACACGAGGCCACTACCGCTGCTGAGGGCGAGGGGCCCCGAGGCCCCGAACGCCTCTGCCCCCGCGGATCTCGTGAGGAGTGGACGTGCGGCGGGGCTCCCGCCAGCATCTGCCCACTGACCACCCTACTTCGGACTCCGTGCCTCCACGCGGCTCAGAGTCCAGGGAGGAGGCCTCTAGAGTCTCACACATGTTGTAGATTCGTGATTACCTGCAGGGACCAGGTCTTTGAAATGAAGACCTTTCTCCTTCTGAGCTTCTGCAGTTAAAGCCCCTTCTCTGAGGAAAAGACGCCGAAGCGGTCCAGCGGCCGTCTGGACAGGGACGGGGGATGCAGGAGATACAGGAGAGGGCGCGGGCCGGGCAGTGCTTCACTTTATGACTTGGTCCTGTGCCCCCACGACATCCAGCGCACGGAGCACGATGCCGCGGTGACTCCAGAGCCCCGCGCCCCAGCCCCTGCGCCCGTGACTCGCTCTCGGATCTGACCTTGTCTGCTGCCCACAGCTGTGCGCCTCCCACCTCTTTGCCGCCTTGCCCTTCCTGGAGCCCTGGGGGGTCTGCACAGGGGCTTACAGACACCTGGAGCAGCTGGGGACGCGCCTCCCCGCGGGGCCCGCTGCCGCCGCCCGTGTTTCTGGCCTGGCCATCCATCTTGTATAATTATCACTCAGTTCGGGGCTCGAGTTCTGATGTGGCTCCCCTGAATAAATCTGAACAACGCCCCGAGGGAAAATACTGATCTCAAGATGAATCAAACACGGCCGCTTTCGCTGAGTGTGTCAGCCTCCTAGCGTCATTTGACTTCCTAACGAATAAAGGATCCCGGCCACAATTCCATCGGGAGCTGGAGGGCAGGCCGGGTCCTGCCCTGTGAGAAGCCACGGGCCGCTCCGTCTAGAGAGTCACTTCTCCAGCACTTCATTCGTGAGTCCAATACCTGCTCTTTACTATACAGTATGTTCTTGTTTTTTATCTATTTTATATATAATGATGTGTATATGTTCATCCCAAACTCCTAGCTATAGATCTACATGCTCCTGCTGCTGCTGCTGCTAAGTCGCTGCAGTCGTGTCCGACTCTGTGCGACCCCATAGACAGCAGCCCACCAGGCTCCCCCGTCCCTGGGGTTCTCCAGGCAAGAACACCAGGGTGGGCTGCCATTTCCTTCTCCAATGCGTGAAAGTGAAGTCGCTCAGTCGCGTCTGACTCTTAGCGATCCCATGGACCGCAGCCCACCAGGCTCCTCCGTCCATGGGATTTTCCAGACAAGAGTACTGGAGTGGGTTGCCATTGCCTTCTCCGTAGATCTATATATAACTGAATAAATATTCTTTTTTGGATTCTGAAATGCTGAGACTTGAGGTTGGTATATGGCACAGGTTCGAAATTTGGAGTCTAATCTATTTGGAGATTATTATTCAAGGATTGCTCTATATTCAGCTCATCATTCAAGTTGGCCTTTAAGCCTGAGGTTTACACATGGCTTTATAGTTACTGAAGTGCTCACCCATATGCCATGGCATTGGTTTTGTGGGCTTAGTCTCCGGCATTAGTTCAGAGCTCTGGTGTTGAAGAAAGAGGCTGAGCTGGGGCCAAAGGTTCTGCTATCAGTGGAGCCACTACCCAGAGCCAGGAGACAGGCTTCTGACCCGGACCCCAGCGACGGTGATGACCCGTCCCCCTTCAAGGCTGCGAGAGGGTGAGCTAGTGGGAGCTGGGTCAGCCCCGGACTCCCCCTGCCACTGTGGCCTTGAACTGTGAGAAGACACCTTTCAGGTCCCCTGTATTCTGCAGAGGAGAGGAGACAGCCAGCAGTCTAGGCTTTGTCTTATGGCTCAGCTGGCAAAGAATCCTCCTGAAATGTGGGAGACCTGGGTTTGATCCCTGGGTTGGGAAGATCCCCTGGAGAAGGGAAAGGCTCCCCACTCCAGTGTTCTAGCCTGGAGAATTCCATGGACTGTATAGGTCATGGGGTTGAAAAGAGTTGGACAGGACTCAGCGACGTGCACATTCCACTGCACTGCACTTGTCCAAAGCCCAAGTGTGGGCTGGGAGGGAGGCTTAACTGGGAGGGGATAAATGGACCCTTAGGACTGATCATTGTTGTAGGACAGAAACCAACATTGTAAAGCAATTATCCTCCAATTAAAAAAAAAATCAAAAACCAACCCAAAGCCCAAGCGCGAGGCCAGGAGCCCGTGCGGAGTGGGCCTTCCTGCCCGACTGCCCCGGGCCCGCGCGGTAGAGACCCCGCTATCCGCCTCCGCTCGCCCCGGGCGCCCGTGAGTGAGAAGACGAGGGGCTGGGCAGCAAGCGGGGTCCTCCCCAACGCCGGCAGGGGGTTCACCAGCGGGTCGGCAGCCAGGGGCCAGCGCACCGGCTCGGAGCGGGCTGGGGAAGGCGCCCGGGAGCAGGGCGCCCGCGCAGGCGCTCGCCAACGGAGTCACGGACACGCAGCCGGTCAGGCCGGCCCCGCAACACGGGTCGCGTCCTGCAGCCGCCGCCTTCTCCCGAGCAGCTTTCAGGAACGCTGGCTGGAGCCCGGGGCCCCGAAACGGAGGTGTACACTGACCCGGGCCTGCCAGATGCGGGGCCCACCCACACCCTGCCCATCAGCAAACAGCTCTGGGAGGAGCGCTCGGGGGCCCAGCGGCCCGGAGGCCCAGCCGCACGCCTGACCCAGGAGCCCCCCGCCCGCGGGCCGTGCCTTGCAGAACTCGCAGGCGTCAGGACTCCGGAGGCTGCGTTATCCAGTGTCAACCACGCCCGGGACAGGGGTCTCGGTTCAGCTCTGCTCAGCCTGGCCGCTTTCCTTCTGAGTTTTGAAACCGTTTTGCCGGCTCTCAGAAGTCTCCGGGGACGCATAAAACAAGTGCCGACGCAGCGGCTCTGCCTTCCTCCCCTTGCTCAGTTTATTGGCTTTCAGTCTGATGCTGCCACTTCCTCTTAGACACTAACCTTTTAAAAGACGGTTTGATTTCTCGGTGGATCAGATTGCTCTAGGATGCTGAAGCTGAAGCTCCAGTACTTCCGCCACCTGATTGGAAGAGACCCTGATGCTCCGAAAGATTGAGGGCAGGAGGAGAAGGGGACGACAGAGGATGAGATGGTTGGATGACATCACCCACTCAATGGACATGAGTTTGGGTAAACTCTGGGAGTTGGTGATGGACAGGGAGGCCTGCCCTGCTGCAGTCCATGGGGTTGCAGAGAGTCGGACACGACTGAGCGACTGAACTGAAGTAGCTGAAGGTGCTCCGCCGACCTGAGATGAATGCATGCACAGCCAGCTCTCTGGATAGGATTTCTCCTCTGACAGCGCCAAATCAGGCTGGGATTTGAGGGTCTGACGCTTACTCTGCCTTCAGACATGCTCTGGCCTACGCCGACAGTTTCGCTGGATCGCTGCTGTCTGGGCCTCTTCTGCAATTGCTGAGCTACCTTAACCGGGGTGGTCTTGTCCAAGGCGATCTCGACAGCACTCTTGGGAGGCCGTTCTCCTTGTCCTTTGGGAAATGGTAGTATAATCTCAGCCCAGAACGGTGTCAGGGGACTCCCATGGCTGTGCAATGGCACCTGACCCAAGCGGCCAGCAACATGTAGGCTTTCTTTTCCAAAGTCAAGTTGCCCTGCCAGGAAAGGGAGAGTCACTTGCATCCCTTCACAGGGGTGTAGGCATCCCAAGAACTGGCAGGGAGCAGAGGAGCTGGAAATATGCCTGAGGTTTCAGGGGGGATGGAAGTGAAACGTGCCCGAAGACCCTGCATCCTCATCCATCACACAGGTGGAGGCTGAGGATTCTTTCCCCAGCCGCCAGGGTACCTGGCCTGAGACGGTGAACTCAGGACCAGCAGGGAAGAAATAGGCTGCAGATGGGAAGGGGTTTCAATTTCCAAGAGCCAAACGTGGTTCGGGAAAGGCACAAATTATCCAAGCCTCCCACGTAAACCAGTGATTTCAGGCATTTCTCCTGCTTCGAGTTTTATGAATACTAAAGAACAAGGGAGGACAGGGGCCATGAAGGATACTCAGTTCAGTTCAGTTCAGTCGCTCAGTCATGTCCGACTCTGCGACCCCATAGACTGCAACACGCCAGGCCTCCCTGTCCATCAGCAACTCCCAGAGTTTACTCAAACTCATGTCCGTTGAGTGGGTGATGCCATCCAACCGTCTCATCCTCTGGCGTCCCCTTCTCCTCCTGCCTTCAATCTTTCCCAGCATCAGGGTCTTTTTCAATGAGCTGACTAGCTCTTCGCATCAGATGGCCAAAGTACTGGAGTTTCAGTGTCAGCATCAGTCCTTCCATTGACTGAGGATACTAGGTCTTGGGAATTAATTGAATGGAGACCAGGACTCGGGGAACTGGTTCTCAAAACGCTCAGGAAAGGTTCTGACCGGCTGAGCGATGAGATGGCAGGTGAACCTTCGGGGAGCGAAGGCCTGCCTTTTCTGAACGCCTGCCAACCCTGAAGCTCGGGAGACCCCACCCGTTCAGTTCTGGCCCCAAAGTCTCCTCCGACAGTCGGATGAAGAAGATTCTCCCCAGTCTGCCGTGAGGTTTCTGTGAGCAAGCATCCTGGGAACCGTGGCGGCCGGCCAGGCCTCCAGCGTTCTGCTGGGGTGAAGGGTCCCCCTCGGGGCTTTTGTCCCTTGTGCCTCCTTTTCTTCCCCCTCCGCCGCCCTCCCCCTTGCGGTGCTCCTGTGGACCGGTTAGTGCTCAGTGGGCGGGGTCGGGGGCAGACAGCCCTCAGAAGGTCTGCTCCTACACACAGCCTCCGGCCTGCCCCCCAGGGACCGATCCAGCGGCTCGAGGACGGCGTCACAGCCCCGGACCACGTGTCAGCCAGGGGCCGGGCGATCCTGAGAGGACACTGGATCCTCCCACTCAAATAAAAATTACTGACGGATCTGAGCTTAACCTACTTAAGTCTTGCTAATCACTTAATAAGTACAGAAGCATTGCTCCAGACTTCCTGGTTTCCTTTAATCCTCCCAGATGCACCTAGAAGCTTCCAGAAGGGGCTAGAACCTTCTTTGTAGCTTCCTCCTCTTCCCCAGCAGCCCCTTCCCTTCCATCAGCTTTGAAGACCCAGCCACCTTGCTCCAGGCAGACTTGTCAGGGAAAGTAAGGGCCTCGGGGCCCGAGTGCTGCCACATTGGACTCAACAACGTTCTTCGGTTTCCATGAAGCATCTGCACTTGCGATAGACTGACTTAGCCTCTTCTAGGCACTGGGATTTGTTCTCTCAACGCTTGTCATCTCTTCTTCCAGGCTCGGGTCAGGCTAACTCTCTGGAGGACTTAAGATATCAGAAAACAAATGAATGCCGCCACTTGGCGCTTTTTATCTGGTGACTGGATGTTACAATCGTTACTGAGTCTGGCACTGTTTTTTCCCTTCATTGTGAGCAAGCTCTGATCACCTCGATTTAGTAGGAGAATTTAAGGAGCCTTTATAATCAGTAGCTTTATGTTGTAAAGGTGGTGTTTGCTAAGCAAAGTCGTTTACCTAATCTGACTCACTGAGTGCCTGTGATAATCCGAGGCTTCATGAAGGCAGACACGGCCTACACCCAGACTTGGGACTGAGACTTACAGGAATGATGTGGTTTTGCATCAGGTCCCCCCGCGCGTGAAATGCACGCTGACTCCAAATGCATGTGAGTCCCCCAAGTGCCAACTTCAAGGCAGGCTCTGCACCCCCCACACACATTCTTAGGTTTCCATAAACCTAAGAGCCCTGCCAGGGACACAGGCTAGGCCAGACATGCCGAGCCTCAGCGCTGTTTCTCCTCTCTGTGGCTGTGAGATTCTGTGTGACTATTCAGTTTTTGATTTTGTGGGGCCTTTGCTTTTTTTTTTTAAGCAACCTCCTGCTTTTGTTGGTAAAAGAGGTACCTGACATCGGGCAGACCATGACCACCCCAAAGCATTACTGTCTCATGCCATCATCTCCTTTATTATGATTAGATATAGTATCCAAAGCCCCCAGTGCAGCGGTTTCAACAAGACAGAAGTTCATTTCTCTCCCGCAAGTGCATCCGGAACTAGGGGGACAGCATGGCGCTTCCGTCCCCAGGCCGCCTCCTGGCTAAGGTGGCTGCCCCAGCTCCAGCTGTCACACTCACCCTCCAGTCAGAGAGAAGGAAGGGAAGTGAGGATGAAGGCAGGCTCTCTTCCTGTAAAGATGCCTCTCAGAAGTGCCACATACCATTGCTGCTACCATCTCATCCACTAGAGCTGGCACATTCTCACACCACCTTCAAGAGGGTAGGACACACAGTCCTTTTTAGTTTGTTTCTGGAAACCCCATGCCTCACTACAAAATGGGGCTTCTATTATTATAGAAGAAAGGAATGGATACTTTGAGAGCAGCCAGCAGGGTCTGCCGCCCAGCCTCTCTTCCGTCCCCCTCCACACACGTGTTTTTACCTTTGACCACATTCAATTGCTTTTCATCTTGCTGTGTGTGCTCAGTTGCGCCTGGCTCTTTGCGGCCCCGTGGACTGTAGCCGGCCAGGCTCCTCTCTCCATGGGATTTCTCAGCAAGAATACTGGAGTGGAGTGGATTGCCATTCCCTTCTCCCAGGGATCTTCTGACCCGGGGAGCATACTCATGTCTCCTGCATCTCCTGCCTTGCCGGCAGATTCTTTACCACTGAGCCACCGGGGAAACCCATCTTTGGTCTTACTCTGCACTCAAATCCACCTCAGAGGTTGCCAACAGACTCCAAAACTTCAGACTAATTTGGATCAAAATCTCTTGAAACTTCCTCCAGTGGCTACTTTGCATTTCCTGCTGAAAACCCGCACGCCTTCCTTAATTGTGCAGTCGTACCAGCATCCTTAACTCCTTGATTCCCACCTCAGAAACACACACACACACACACACTGAAGATCCCAAATTCTTATTTTTCCATTCATCCAGGAAGAAATTATAACCACAGATGTTGTGTGTTGATAGAACTCCTGTGGCTTTCTTCTGCAACCAAATGGTGGTGGTTTCCTAACCTCTCGCTTAAGAAGAGACAGAGGGTCTCCCTTCAGACAGGAGTCACCGGAGCCGTGACACTGATGTCTTAGACCATCTCACAGCACTCTCATACTGCTTCAGGGGGAACTGCTCTTAACCATAACAGTGGCATTATAGATGGGACTCGGGGAAATGGGTGAAAGAAAAACTGTGTATCATCTATAACCTCATTAGTCTCACACAGGCTCTGCTGTCCCAGGGCAATTTCCTTCCAGCCTTTTTTCAAATGGGCAGAATTTTATAAAATACACACATCTTTATCTGACATTATCCCCTAACCTTTTTCATATCTCTAGCTTAGTTTCCAATAAGCCCATTATTTCAATAACTACATAATGGAATAGATAGATAGATAGATATGACTTGTGTAGCCGCTCCCTGTCGTGGGCATGTACGTTGCACCCAACTCTCTTCCTTTCCTTGAGCTAACAGTAAAACTCTTACAAAGATTCATTTCATGCACAGAGTCACAGGGATTAAGAATCTTACCTTTTAATAGATATTTTAAAGCTAGAGTGGTTTTATTACAGAAAGAAAAAAAAAAAGCCAACCAGAGAGCTGGGCATTAAGCATCTCTCCCCTTGCCGGGCACTCGCCCACCCCTCAGGACTGTGTTTCTGTTGTTATTCTTCTGGTGACCTTCCAATGCAACTTTAAACAGTATTTATGTGGCTTTAAATATTTATGCCTAGGAGCTGGTGACTCCTGAATTTTTATTGCCCTCTTGAGCGAGGCTTCTTTGTGCATCAAGGTCTAACGGATTCGTTTTTATTTACTTGCTCCGGCTTTCTTCACATCCTCTGCTCAACGCACTGTCTCTTGTTTCTGATGCCACTAACCTTCTGGACTCCTGACTTGCGTTTTTCTGGAATCCTACCTCAAATTACTTTTTCAAATGAATGTATGGGGGAGAGCAGGCAAACTTTACGAGTGCTTTCAGGTTAAAAAATGCACTCCAACCTACACACCCACACACACACACCCCCACACACACCTATGATTGACAGTTTAGCTGAAAACGAGCTCTAGGACTAAATTCCTTTTAGATTCCTTTCCCCTCCGAAGATAGTCTGAAGGACAGATCTCACACTGGTGCTGAAATCTCGGGTGACACTCAGACTCTTTTCCCTTTGGTCCTGGGCACTCACTTTATAGCCCGGTTTCTCAGCCTCAGCACTGCTGACATCTTGGGTCCAATAGTGCTAAGTGGTGGGGTGAGCCGTAAACATTGCGGGATGTTTGACAGCGTCCCTGCCCCCGACCCAGGGTGTGCAACTGTGGCTGAATAAGTGTGATGGGAGAGCGAGTCACGGGTGTGGGAGCACAGACAGGGGGCTGCATCCGCGGTGGCAGCCGGAGGTCAGGGAGCTCCGGCGGTACCTGAACCGGGTCTGAAAGAAGACGGGCGGTGAGCCAGGCCGAGGCTGGGAGACCCAGCTCCCGGCAGGGTGAACAGTGAAAGAAAGAAAGTGACGTCGCCCAGTCATGTCCAACTCTGCGACCCCACGGACTGTAGCCCACCAGGCTCCTCTGTCCATGGGATTTTGCAGGCATGAATACTGCAGTGGGCAGCCATTCCCTTCTCCAGGGGATCTTCCTGACCCAGGGATCGAACCCGGGTCTCCCTCATTGCAGGCTGACGCTTTCCCCTCTGAGTCACCAGGGAAGCCCAGTTATTAGCTTTACATAATTTCCGCAGCGCAAACACATGGAGGCCTGAAATCAAGCCCTGCACCCGGAAACACCTGAAGCAGAGCCGTGGGCTCCGACCAGAGCAGAGAGAGAGCAGTGGAGGCCGGGGTGGAGGGGGCCGGCTCCTCGGGACGCTGCGTCCCAGGATGAGGCGCCGCGCGTCAGGACCCGGGGCTGCAGGCGGCAGACCCCCGTCCCCCTGCTTTGCCCCCCACCCCGCCTTCCTTCCTACCCCCCACCCGCGCGGGGCTCAGACTCCCTTGCCCGCAGTCACCCTCCGGCAGGCAGTCCTCAGGGGATGGGTCTCTGGGGTGCAGTGAGTGTAGAAGGACGTGGACGCCACTGTCCTCCAGCCCCAGCGGAGTCCCCAGCGGGGGAGAAGGGGGAGGAGGCTGGGCCAGCCCCGCTGAGGGCGGCGGGGCGCCCAGGACGCGGTCAGCGGGGAGGGCCTCCTGGGTGGCCCCGGGCCTGGTGCCCCCGCCTAGGCTGGATGTCGGCGACGCGGAGAGGCGAAGGGCGGCTCTCCTCCACAGGGCAGTCCTGCCGGGCTTTCGGATGCCGGCTGCGGGCCCGGCAGAGACGGGCGGCCAGGGAGAGGGGCCGGGAAGCCGGGCCACGGCCAGGGCGGGCAGAGACGCCTGTGGGCCAGAGGAGAGGTCACGGCGCAGACGTTTAGGAAGAGGACGGTGAGCGCCGCCAAGCGCGCGCGCGATGAGGGCGCCTGGAGGCCGACGGGCTGGCCTGGGACTGGGGAACCGGCACCCCTCAGCGAAGTCGCCGCGGACCGACCGCTCCTTGCTCCTGGGCTCTTTTGGAGCTGAAAAACCTCAGGGGCCTGAGAGAAAAACACACCTGATGAAACAAAGAGGAAAGGACCTCCAAAGTGCTGGGGGCGGTTTTGTTCCCTTTCTCACACGCCCGGCCTTTCTAAGATAAGTGTAAATTCTTCTCGCAAGAAAAAGGGGAGGGGGGAGTTGGCGAATTGAACCGCTGTGTATCAATTATGCATTAGTGAAGATTATTCCACAATGCACTGCGGTCCCCACAATCCATCTTCGAGCAGAAGGCAAGTGTAGAATATAATCTTTCATGATAATAATAATATTAAAGAAGAGTCCTCAGCTCCGCTCTTGCTAGGAATACAATCGGGCGTGAAGGACTAGACGCACCGTCGGCCGGGGGCTGACAAACAGGCGGCCTCTGTGGCCGAACTGCGTGGCGATGCTCCAGGGCGGGCCGGGGGCGCTGAGCGGGCGGGGATGCAGTCACAAAGCGCCACGCATCGGGGCCTGGACGAAATGGACTTCCGCTTTGTTCTGGGGCCTTGTGAGGGCAGAGAGCGCCAGCCGCCCTTCCTCTTATGAAGACAGCAGTTCTATTGGAGTAGAGCCCCACGCTTCCCCTTTAGTAACTCCTACAGCCCCACCTCCAAGTCCGTTAAGCTCCCTACCTACAAACGGGTTCTGTACCAAGAACACAGTCATAAGTTCAGCTTGTCTGTGAGTCCAACCAAATTTGGGATTCCCTGGTAGCTCAGCTGGTGAAGAATCCACCTCTGATGTGGGAGACCCCAGTTCGATTCCTGGGCCGGGAGGATCCACTGGAGAAGGGAATGGCTACACACGCAAGTGTTCTTGGCTTCTCTCAGCTGGTAAAGAGTCCGCCTGCCATGTGGGAGACCTGGGCTCGATCCCTGAGTTGGGAGGATCCCCTGGAGGGGGAAATGGCCAACCAATTTCAGTACAGGACACGTAAAAGACTCAGGTTCAATCCCTGGGTTGGGAAGATCCCCTGGAGGAGGAAATGGCAACCCATTCCAGTATTCTTGCCTGGAGAATCCCTTGGACAGGGGAGCCTGGCGGCCTGCAGTCTATAGAGTTGAAGGGAGTCGGACACGACTGAGGCGATAGCCTGCCAACCAAATTAGCCTCGGTGTCCAACTAACGCTATCAGCTGTATAGTACTATACTGTAATAGGTCTATAATAAATAAATAATAAATATATAATAAAATAGGTCTATTAAATAAATAATACAAAAAACAAGCACAAAAAATGTTTAACTTGCAGTATAGTAAGACTGAAATGTCCAGTCAGTGCAGCACAACAGTGGTGCGGAAGGGCTGGCATCCAGCGAAGAGGCAAAAAGACTTACTGCCTGGATTAGAGCAGGTGGAAGTGCTGCAGGATCGTCAGCGCCAGGAGACAGGGCAAGCTGCAATTTCACCCACTCCTGACACTGATGGATCACACGCTCACACCTTTGAGCATCTGCAACTTGAAGGTGCGTACGTAGGGGACTTACTTTTGTACAGTTACATTGGGGTTAATGCTCCAAATTATGAATTTCGCTGGGGACATGATTCCGTCAATGGCAGGAAGCCTGCCACATACAAGCAGTTTTCTCTGGAGGCTTCCTCATTCTCAGAGTTTCTGAGATTGCTTGAGCTGAAGCAGAAGGTGAGAGCCCACCTTCTGTGGTTAATAAGGTCCCAGGCGTTCCCATCTTGTTTCAAGGCCTCCTTGCTAGTCTGTCCAGACACAGAGAGAGCAGGCGGCCAGCACGTCCCTGAAGCCACCACCACATCTAAAACCCAGATCCAGACGCTTGAACGTTTATAATATGGGGGAGCGGGAAAGGGGGCCACAGTCGGCCAGACCACAACCCAGGGTAGCAAAGGCCTGGAACTGAGAGCCGAAGATTTTTCTTGGAACACGTTCTTCAATTTCTCTGCTGCTCACCTCTTACCTGGAAGATGATCTAAAGATGCCAGTCTCACAGGCGGTCAGCACGCTAGGTAAGATGATACATGTAAGTAGCTGGCCTTTGAGAATTCATGCTTCTGGTTTTCTGTTTTGGTAAAATGGGGACTATTTTAAGGGCTCCTACTCTCTGTGCTCCACAGGACAGAGAGCCGACAGGGAGATGCTGCCAGTTGCTAATTTCATCTTTTCTAATCATACCCCCAAGGGCCTTGGAAGTACAATGGAGCCATCATATACATTGTGAGGTGGACATGGGGCAAAACATGAACTTATACCAAAACATCACTTCAGCTGACTTCACATTCTGACTGGTAGACCATACTGGAAAGTCCAGTTTCCGTTCCAAACCCAAAGAAGGGCAACGCCAGAGAATGTTCAAACTACTGCACAATTGCACTCATTTCACATGCTAGCATGGTCATGCTCAAAATCCTCCAAGTCAGGCTTCAGGAGTATGTGAACCGTGGACTTGCAGGTGTTCAAGCTGGATTTAGAGAAGACAGTGGAACCAGAGATCAAATTGCCAACATCCATTGAATCAAAGGACTTCCCTCATAGCTCACTTGATAAAGAATCTGCCTCAATGCAGGAGACCTGGGTTCAATACCTGGGTTGGAAAGATCCCCTCGAGAAGGAAATGGCAACCCACTCCAGTACTCTTGCCTGGAGAATCCCATGGACAGAGGAGCCCGGTGGGCTGCAGTCCACGGGGTCGCAAGAGTTGGACACGTCTGAGCAACTAAACTACTACTACTGCTGGATCATAGAAAAAGCAAGAGAGTTCCGAGAAACATCTGCTTCATTGACTACACGAAAGCCTTTGTGTGGATCACAACAAACTGGGAAATTCTCCAAGCCAGGCTTCAGCAATATGTGAACCATGAACTTCCAAATGTTCAAGCTGGTTTTAGAAAAGGCAGAGGAACCAGAGATCAAATTGCCAACATTCCCTGGATCATCGAAAAAGCAAGAGAGTTTCAGAAAAACATCTATTTCTACTTTATTGACTACGCCAAATCCTTCGACTGTGTGGATCACAATAAACTGTGGAAAATTATGAAGGAGATGGGAATACCAGACCACCTGACCTGCCTCTTGAGAAATCTGTATGCAGGTCAGGAAGCAACAGTTAGAACTGGACATGGAACAACAGACTGGTTCCAAATAGGAAAAGGAGTACGTCAAGGCTGTACATTATCACCCCGCTTATTTAACTTATATGCAGAGTACATCATGAGAAACACTGGGCTGGAAGAAACACAAGCTGGAATCAAGATTGCTGGGAGAAATATCAATAACCTCAGATATGCAGATGACACCACCCTTATGCAGAAAGTGAAGAGGAACTAAAAAGCCTCTTGATGAAAGTGAAAAAGGAAAGTGAAAAAGCTGGCTTAAAGCTCAACATTCAGAAAACTAAGATCATGGCATCCGGTCCCATCACTTCATGGCAAATAGATGGGGAAACAGTGGCTGACTTTATTTTTCTGGGCTCCAAAATCACTGCAGATGGTGACTGCAGCCATGAAATTAAAAGACGCTTACTCCTTGGAAGCAAAGTTATGACCAACCTAGACAGCATATTAAAAAGCAGAGACATTACTTTGCCAACAAAGGCCCATCTGGTCAAAACTATGGTTTTTCCAGTGGTCATGTATGGACGTGAGAGTTGGACCATAAGGAAAGCTGAGCACTGAAGAATTGATGCTTTTGAACTGTGGTGTTGGAGAAGACTCTTGAGAGTCCCTTAGATTGCGAGGAGATCCAACCAGTCCATCCTAAAGGAGATCAGTCCTGGGTGTTCATTGGAAGGACTGATGCTGAAGCTGAAACTCCAATACTTTGGCCATCTGATGAGAAGAGTTGACTCATTGGAAAAGACCCTGATGCTGGGAGGGGCTGGGGGCAGGAGGAGAAGGGACGACAGAGGATGAGATGGCTGGATGGCATCACCGACTCGATGGGCATGAGTTTGAATAAACTCCAGGAGTTGGTGATGGACAGGGAGGCCTGGTGTGCTGCGGTTCATGGGGTCACAAAGAGTTGGACACGACTGAGTGACTGGACTGAACTGAACTGAACTGACCGAGTTTAAACTGAGTTGTTTGTTGTGTAATCATCAGTTCCGGGCTTAAAGAAAAAAACATTTTATGTGACTATGACTAAGAAATGTAGAGGAAAAAAAAGATGTTTGTCCTTTCCTCCTCCTTGAGAATTTCAGATCCCAACCTCCGCTTCAAGAACCCCAGACCCCTTTCTCCTTCTCAGGGACCCCAGACTCCCTCTCAAGCTGCCTAGGAATTGACTCTCAGCCTTGTCTGAACAGATGCCCCACAGTGCGTCCCCCCGGCCCCTATCGCTGCCTCCCTTCTTCTCCATCCTCTTGCAGACTGAGTTCCAGTTCTCCGACAGCCAGACGAGCTTCCCGAGGGCTCTGCGGGGCCAGCACTTTGGCTCTGCGTCCTGACTGATGTCACGCCCCCCACCCCAGCCCCGGGTCCAGTGGACCACCTCGGTCCTCCAGGAGGTCGTGGCCTCCCTTCAAGGGTGTGCCTGCCTGACTGCTCATCGCCGGCAGCCCAGCGAGCTGGCTTCTTTCCCTGGCGCCTCTCTGCTGCTCCAGCCGTGCGTTTCCTCTCACGCCTGTGTGCTGAGTGACAGAGCTCATCCATCTCCAGGAGCCCGCGGCGGAGGCGCTCATGCAGCTGCCTGCCTCCTGACAACAGCTCGAGGAGACGCGCGGGGTCTCGTCACGGGGTGGAGGGATGCTCACGCAGGAGACGGGAGGGTGCGGTGTTGGGAGCTGGAGTGGAAACACCAATCCGTCCTTACCACAGGCATCTCCCTGTGTTTCATACACATTCTTCGCACAGAATTTGGTCTCACACTCCGAGAATCCTGAGTGTGCCGAAAGCAAAACAGCAGCCCAAACAAGAGACAGACAGGCGCTGCTCACACCCCGTGCTGAGACACGCGCATCCAATACGCTCGTTGTCGGGGGCTGGGAAGGCTGACCCTGTAGAAGGCAGAGGCTCCTTCACGGGCACCGAAAATGCTTGGCAAGGCTCAGGGCTCATGGCCAGGCCCCTCAGCGTCAGCGGAGATGCCTCGGGGCTCCTGCTTTTTGCTGCAGGTTGGGAGGTGACCGCTCAGCTCTCCTGCGTCTCACTCCTCCATGCAGCTGTGGGGGTGGGGGGTGGCCGCGGTGGGCAGAGGTGGGGGCGTGGCTGCTGTGTCCTGGCCTCAGAGAGGAACGTGCCCACAGGCCGTGCTGGGCAAAGCTGCAAACGCGCCGGTGCCCGAGGACGCCCCCCGAGCTCAGGCGAGGTCCCGCATGTCCGGGCTTGGCGAAGACCAGACATGCGGTGCTGGGGGGAGGGGGGACGGTGACTGCGGACTCAGGACTTGGGAAGATGCAGAACTTTCTGGTCCAGGAATTTTCAAGCTTGTCTTCCAGCTACATTCAAATATGCAGGTCCTTTGTGGAACCAAGGGCTCTGCATGCAATGCATTTGGTTGTGGCTGGAATGAAACCCACAGAGAAACAACCTAGTAATGTTGCCCCAGACTTCAGTTCAGTTCAGTCGCTCAGTCATGTCTGACTCTTTGCAACCCCATGAATTGCAGCACACCAGGCCTCCCTGTCCATCACCAACTCCCAAAGTTTACTCAAACTCATGTCCATCGAGTCGGTGATGCCATCCAGCCATTTCATCCTCTGTCGTCCCCTTCTCCTCCTGTCCCCAGTCCCTCCCAGCATCAGGGTCTTTTCCAATGAGTCAGTTCTTCTCATCAGATGGCCAAAGTATTGGAGTTTCAGCTTCAGCATCAGTCCTTCCAATGAACACCCATGACTGATCTCCTTTAGGATGGACTGGTTGGATCTCCTTGCAGTCCAAGGGACTCTCAAGAGTCGTTTCCAACACCACGGTTCAAAAGCATCAATTCTTCGGCACTCAGCTTTCTTCACAGTCTAACTCTCACATTCATACATGACCACTGGAAAAATCATAGCCTTGACCAGATGGACCTTTGTTGGCAAAGTAATGTCTCTGTTTTTAAAGATGCTGTTTACGTTGGTCATAGCTTTTGTTCAAAGGAGCAAACGTCTTTTAATTTCGTGGCTGCAGTCACCATCTGCAGTGATTTTCGAGCCCAGATTTACCTGTTCATTTTTTGCCATATCCACCCTAATCCTTCTATTAAAATGGTATTGTTTTCTGTCTTATCAACCTGGGACCTGCCTCTGTTCTCTGGACCAGACTCAGCTGATCCTGATCTTCCCAAGATGAGCTGGAAGTCACAGGACAAGGACGGGTGCGGTCGGGGTGCTCTCCCCATTTCACTCTGCCAGGTGAGTGTCTGCAGGGCCCCCAGCGTCCTGCCCTCGCCGTCAGGTCCCCAGGACGGGGGCTGCAGCAGCGGGTGGCCGTGGAGGGACAGAGCGGGGCTGTCCCCTGCAGCCGGCTCACCGCAGGGGCTCTGTGCAGGCGGCGAGCGGGGGGCCAGCGTTCCCTGGTGCCCTCTGGTCTCAGCCGTGGACCCCCGTGCGCACGCAGGCTCGGCTCTGACACCCTCTGGGAAGCTGAGGGCTGCTCACGTGCCCTGTTCTTTCATGGGGACATAAACGAGTGGTGACGATGTCTGCCCCAGAGGAGCCGGAGGGCCTTCCCAGACGCTGCCTCTGTCCACCCAGCTTGCGGTGAGGCGCCCTGTCCCCAGGGCAGAGGTGCGTAGGCCTGGGTTTCCTTTGCTTCCAGAAGGAGGAGACAATTCCCAGGGCGTCAATCCTGGCAGCAAAAGAGGCGCCTCGGGTCCCCGAGGGGGGGCTGTGGGACGTGGCGTACTGCAGCGAGAGGTTTCTCCAAACAAGGAAGCTTTCTCCTTCCTGAGTCAGCTGCCTCCAGCAGGACTCACTTCAGAGCTGAACACGCAGCCTCGGCTGCGACGCCGCGGCTTCGGTGGGACGCCGCGTGGAATTCTGCCACACCGAGTCAGGGGGTAGAGGCTTCCTTTGCCCGGAGCAGCAAGTCCGCCGCTTTCAGCTTCCCGGGTCTCCCCAAGTGGCGGCAGAAGCTGCGGATTCACAAACACTGACTTCTCTGCGGCCCCTCCCTGAACTGTTTCTGGCCGCTTGCTGAGGACCAGAAGCGAAATTACATTCTAAAACCAACCATGAGCTATGGATGCTGAGAAGACTTGTTAATCAGGTCAGGCTTTTTCCTTTCTTGATCAATACAGATGTGGCTCATCCTGAGAACCGACAGTTACCCAATCACCCGCCTCTAGTCACAGCCTCCACGTCCTGTAACAATCCGGCTTGTCTCATTGATCAGGCAGCAGCTATCAGGCTGGCGTGCGGGCTCTTGCAGAACAGACGTAATCTGGCCTGCACGTGATTCAGAGCCCTCAGCAAAGCCAGGGCCAGCAGTGCCTTTGTCACTTCCGGGCCCTCAGGACCATCGCGGCCTGCAGGTGGCAAGGCCCTGCGGGGGGAATGGACGCCTTAAGTCCTCTCTCCAGTCCTCGGAGACTCCCACGCGCACGATGGGACAAATGTGTCCCAGAAACACCAAATTCCCGGGCCTCACCTCCTTGAGAAACATTTCTAGAAGCGCACTTCTCAGGTGAAAGGGGTAGGTCCTTACACATCTGATGATTTGTCGATTGCAGAACAACAACAACAAAAATCAGAATATAAATATCACCAAAAAATAACAATGGGAAAATACTGAGTTCCCTTTGTAAATTGATTTCCTAAAAGGTAAATTTCTTAGGAATCACGATGTGATTCCATAGTAATTTTATAGGAACCTTTAAAACAATTCCTATGTCTTCAAGCATTTGTGTTCCTAAAATTTACTTAATGAATCTCTCATATTATAAAAAAAAATGTTTAATTAAAATCAAACTCTAGACTGCAATTCATTCATAGAGAGTAATCATTTTTCCTGTCCTTGGGGATTACATGATGATGCTAAAGGCTTTCTAATTACCAAGGGAAAAAAAATCTGTTATCTCTGTCATTAGTTTCCACTTCAACCTTGCAAAAGGAGAAAATGCAATTAATTCATTTGCAATAAGAATCCTGAAATTCTAAGTAGAAAGACAAACATATATCCAATATTTTACAGTGTGTAAGTGATGTACAGTGTAAATATAAATTATTTATAAGTGGACTGCACTGTATTTGCAGTGAGGAACACTGACCTCCTTGTCCAGGACCACGCAAATAGGGAAGGGGGAACTGAGCGGAAGACGTCTTAGAAGCCAAGGGGGAAGGTTGGTGTCAGGGTTTCTGCCTTGACTCCACATAAACTACCTAGGAAGCTGTGCAAAGGGAACTCAGACCCAAAATACATGCTCAAACATGGTGAAATACAAAATATTAAAACATATAAAAATGTTTTTAAAATCTGCTCTCTCACTCCAGAGAAGAGAACAGGTCCACTGTGTGGAATCACGTTTAAGTCTTGTTTAAGCAATATTTGAGTTGGAGTCAGATGAAATGCCTACACTTCCTTATCTGAAACTAGAAATAATAACACACCGTGAATATTTATAAAATTACAATGTCACAATATTGTTTACCCCCAAATTAAGTAACAATTACAATTTTCTTTCTGTAAGTCAGTGCTATACAACAACATAGAGGCAAATATAAAGGTAATGTGCTGTGCTTAGTCACTGGGTCACGTCCGACTCTCTGTGACCCCACGGGCTGCAGCGTGCCAGGCTCCGCTGTCCATGGGGTTCTCCAGGCAAGAACCCTGGAGTGCGTTGCCATGCCCCCCTCCACAGGATGTTCCTAACCCAGGGACTGAACCCAGGTCTCCTGCATTGCAGGTGGGTTCTTTACTGACTGAGCCGCCAGGGAAGCCCATAAAGGCAGTGGATGAAAAGAAATTAAATCGTGGAGTTCCTAGAGTCTACCTTCTGAGTCAGTCATACTGCTCTGAGATAAACTACCCTAAAACAATAGACGTTGGAACCCGGAGCGTCACAGAACAGGAACTGACACACTCTTGCAGCTACTTTTCAAATATCAGAAATCCGCCCTGTCTTGCTCGCGCGGGGTGTGCAGAACATTCTCAGATGGCACTGTCTTTAATAGACGGTCTCCAGCATCTGTGCACGAGACACCCTGCCTTTCCTTCCTTCCTGGCCCTTCACGATTGCCTTAGCCCTGGTTTCAGCTTTCCTTCTGACAAGGGCATTTGCTTGAAGACGTAGATCTCCAGGGCCAAGCACCTCAGCTTTTCTCAGGGGACATATGGCTTTCTGAAGGAGCAGCATCGCCTTGTCCTTCCGAGTCTCTGTGATGAAGTCCCAGGAGGTGCTGTTTCAAGGTTGAAAGCACCGCCAAGCTGGGAGGGGAGGGGATATTTGAGCGCTTGCCTGAACTGCCCCGAGCCCCCCAGGCTGGCATATAACTCAGGGCCCTCAGATGGAAACAGCCCTTTTTGTGGAGATGATGCTAAGGAAGAGTAAGGTGATCATTCAAGGGTTTCCTGGTAAGGAGGAATTGGAGCCAGCCTCCCCTGCGTTTGTCACGTCACGGAGTGGGTGCCCAGGCCTGGCTCTAGTAGGTGTTTGAAGAGTGTGGCCTGGGCGAGTCTACTGTGCAGAAGAGCTGGGCTCTCACTGCCACGTCTGACAAGAGTCTCTCAGGGTCAGACCAGACGCCTGGGCACCAGGGCCCTGTGACCCCGAGGGGACCGAGAACCACACGGGCAGCCCTTGCCTCAGCCCTGCACACCCAGGACAGGGCCACCCGCCCCCGGAGGCGCGGCGGCGGGGAGCTGGAGCGCAACCCCGGGGTGAGGTCTGCTGCCGACTGTGGACGGGAAGAGGGAGATGGCCCGAGGGGACGTGAGGGGGAGGTCGGGGGAACGTCTGTGGAGCAGAGCCGGGCAGCCTTGGAGGCTAGGCCACAGGCTGAGTCACGCGCAGAGGGTGGAGCATGGTCACAGCCCCCTCTGCCAACGCCAGGCGGCAGCCGACCAGCGGAGGCCCCAGAGGGGTCTGCAGGTGCTTGCGGCGCCCAGCCCCGGGTGGGATTGAGCGCTGCTGCGCCGACAAATAGAGGGCAGCCCCGAGGCCTTCTGCATGCCAGCTGGCAGAGCCTAGAGAGAGGACTCTAACAGTGCCATGCTCCCGGGCCCAGGGCGGCCAGGGTTCCTGTGATGCAAGCGGCCGTGCCACCCCCGCACTCGACTCCGTGGGGCAGAGCTGCCAGGGGCTTGAGAAAACCCTGAGACACTGCACCCCTGTGCCCGCGGCCACCAGCTCCCCTGCGTGGCTGGTGCTGCCCAGGCTCCATAACCCACACAGCAGTGCCACCTCCATACCCGCCCGCCCCGGGGCAGACCCAAGGCCTCCAGGGCAGCCTCTCCACTGTGGGAAATAGTGCAGAGAGTCCTTAAAAAACCACCACGTGTGTGCTGAGTCAATTCAGTCGTGTCCGACTCTTTGCAACCCCGTGGACCGCAGCCCGCCAGGCTCCTCTGTCCATGGGACTCTCCAGGCGGGAACACTGGAGTGGGTTGTCATGCCCCCTCCAGGGGAACTTCCTGACCCACGGGGCCAACCTGCATCTCATGTCTCCTGCATTGGCAGGCAGGCTCTTCATCACTAGAGCCGCTTGGGAAGCCAAAAACTACCATATGACCCAACAATCCCAATATGGGACATATACCCTGAGAAAAGCACAATTCAGAAAGACGCGTGTACCCACTATTCATTGCAGCACTATTTACAATAGCTCGGACATGGAAGCAACCTAGATGTCCATCGACAGACGAATAATGAAGAAGTTGTGGTACATATACACAATGGAATATCACTTAGCCATAAAAAGGAATGCATTTGCATCAGTGCTAATGAGGTGGATGAACCTGGGGCTTATTATACGTAGCAAAGTAAGTCAGAAAAAGAAACACAAATATTGCATATTAATGCATATATATATATATATATATATATATAATCTAGAAGGATGGTATTGATGACCCTGTCTGCAGGGCAGCCGTGGAGATGCAGACACAGAGAACGGACTCGTGGACACGGGAGGCGTAGGAAGGAGAAGGTGGCTGAATGGAGACAGTACTCGGAAAATCACACACTGCCACATGTAAAACAGGCAGACAGTGGGGGCTTGCAGTGTGACTCAGGGAGCTCACACCAGCACTCCGTGACAACCCAGGGGTGGGGTGGGGCGGGAGGCAGGAGGGCGGCTCCAGAGGGAGGGACATGTGTATACCTATGGCCGATTCGTGCTGATGTTCGGCAGAAACCAAGACGGTACTGTAAAGCAATTATCCTCCAATTAAGAGAGAAACCGTTGTGATTTTCTATTCCAGGGATTTCATTTTGCCATGAGGAAATCAAGGCTCAGACAAATCACACGATTTGCCCAAAGCCACAGAGCTGGTGAGTAATGTGTGTGATAGTTGGTACTTGACTCCTGTGCGCCAGACCCTGTTACCTGATTTACAGCCGTCACTTCAGCCTTACAGCACCCTGCGATGCAGGGCCCGTGCTCTGTCAACTCGACTAGGGTACAGTCAAGCATCAGACAATCAAACGCTAATCTAGGTGCTGCTATGAAGACATTTGGAGATTTAATTAAATTCTGTAATCAGCTGACTTTGGTAAAGGAGACTGTCTTGGAAAAGCTGCTGCTGCTGCTGCTAAGTCGCTTCAGTCGTGTCCGACTCTGTGCGACCCCATAGGCGGCAGCTCACCAGGCTCTGCCGTCCCTGGGATTCTCCAGGCAAGAACACTGGAGTGGGTTGCCATTTCCTGCTCCAGTGCATGAAAGTGAAGAGTGAAAGTGAAGTCGCTCAGTCGTGTCCGACTCTTCGCGACCCCATGGACTGCAGCCTACCAGGTTCCTCAGTCCATGGGATTTTCTAGGCAAGAGTACTGGAGTGGGTTGCCGTTGCCTTCTCCCTTGGAAAAGCTGGATGGGTTTAAAAGCAAAGTCTTACGCGGCTGCGCATGTGAAGCATTTTGTTGGAGGTAAGATTTGAAGGAAGCTTCTGAGCCCCGATTGAGCCGTAGCTGCCCAGGCTCAACTGAAAGCAAGGGTGCCGGGCTTTCATCAGAGAGGGCAACACTTTCCCCTGCAGCTTGGGGGCTGGAGGGAGTCACAGTGGACTGACACCCAAGTCTGCCTGTTCCATTTAAAGGGCAAAATAGACTTCTCCGCTGGGGGAAGGAGCGGGAAGGAGCAGCTGCGAAGGAAAGGTGTAACCCCATGGCGCCTCCCCGCCGACCTCCCAGGGGCCAGCTGTGATCAGTGGGCAGAGGCACCTTCAGCGCCGCCTGAGAGGGCCACCTGGAGGAGAAGGACGAGAGGGCTGGACGGCATCACCGACTCGATGGACATGAGTTTGAGGAAACTCCGGGAGACGGTGATGGACAGGGAGCCCTGGCGTGCTGCAGTCCCTGGGGTCGCAGAGAGTGGGACACGACTGAGCGACTGAACTGAACTGACTGACCTGAATTGGACTGGAGGGGCAGAGCTCCCTCAGGATAAAGAGCTATAAGACACATCACGAGAGTAAGTCATCCACCTTCCGGGGACCGTGAGGGACGGCTCCAGACGCAGGCGTCCGGGAGGGAGGGTCTCTAGCCCCTGAAAGAGTCAGCAGCATACGCACCGGGCCACGTGTGAGACGGTGACCCTCACCGCAGCCCACAGGGCAGACCTCTCCTTCCTGAGAAGGGCGGATGCAGAGAAGAGCTCTTTCAGGGAGGAGGGGCCCGTCACGACCCGTCTGCTCTCTGCTTGGAGCATCCTGCAGGGGGGGCCGCCTTGATTTTAAACCAAGGTCATAGTTTTGATTGTTCAGGGCCTAGGCTCATAGTCTCTACATAACTCCTGTGCAGAAATGTAGACTGCGGGGTGACTTGTCTGACATAAGCATGTCCAGGAAAGTCATGTGATGTCCTGCTCCAGGGAGGGAGCTGGCCCTACCGAATAAACTCAAATGGAAACAAAAATAAAGTGTGCTTGTGTTTTTAATACAACGAGACACTCGTCTGAGACAAGTCTGCCCCATGTAGTCTTTGAATATGTCGCAGCATTTCCGTAAAGTCTGACACCCTCGACGCCTCAGAATCGGCTGCCTTCTTCTCCAGAGAATACAGTACTGTTTCATCTTCTTTGAGGATTCTTTGGTATCTTTGGTGATTCAGCTGCAAACTCAGATATCTGCTTCTTTCTTTGAAGTGACTCATTATCTTGGGAGTGACTCTGTTGACTGTCATTACGAAGGGAGAAAAAATGCAAGCAAACAACCGAGGCTTATTTATCCTCCTCCTTCTGAGAAGGCATTAATTAGTTTCCCCCAATTCCTCAGCTGTCAGACTTCTCAACCACTGCAACACTCTCAGCCTCTTAATTCCCAGGACTATTTCTGGCCCCCAATCCTGAAGGCGGTGCCTCTCTACTCGGCAGGAACCGGCCCCACAGTGGGTCTTAACATAGACTGTGTTCACTCTGTTCCACGAGGAGTAAGAGTGGGAGATTTTTTGCTTTTTAATGAACACATATGCAGAGGGAGATTTTGATGTAATTATACTCAGGCACTGGAGAAGGGAATGGCAGCCCACCCCAGTATTCCTGCTGCAGAAGGGGGCTGCCGAGTCAGAGACGACGGAGCCCCACGCTCCAGCACAGGTGACCAAGGGCAGGAAGGCTGCTCCCGAAGCTGCGACCCAAACTGTACCTGCGGGCACACCTCAGATGTTCGGGCCTCAGCTCCCTCGAGGTTTGTTCTGCCTTCTCTTTCCTCTTCTCTCTCCTCCTTCTCCCCCTCCTTGCAGAGCAAGCCTCTGTCGTCCTGTGGGAAGTCTTCCCTCTCCTGCCCGTCCCCGGTGACGACGCACCCCTCTGCCGACCACGTTTCAGGGGCACTTGCTGAGAAGGATGAGCTCCGCTTCGCATCCACAAAGGGGGACAGCTGCAGATGTGTGAACACAGCACAGAGGCAGAGCGGCGTCGAGGCAGGGCCCGGATCTCCACTGAGCACCGCTTTAGACACCTGCTCTCCCTGACCTCCCGAAGGCCTGGAGGGAAGGAAGGTAAAGCAAAGCAAACCCAAGTCCGACAGGAAGCCAAGGAAAAGAAAGCGATTGTACGGGGTTACATATTCGGAAAAGCTTCTGTGCATTTCAAAATCGTGCCACCTACACATATAAGCAGCGAAACTGAATTTGGTTACATGGATAAGATGCGGCATCTGACTGAAGGGTTGCAGTGTGTGAGGAGCAGGTACTCACGGGGAGGTCACAGGTGTATTCTCTGCTCGCCGTGAGGAGACAGCACGAAGGCGCAGACAGGAAACGCGATGCCCAGAGCCGCGTGCAGGCTCCCATCCAGTCATCCTTTGGGGATTCCACCAAGTTCTCCCCAGTTGCCTCCTTTCTAAGAACACTGCATTGCTGTTTACACGTGCTCCTTTCTCTCCCTGACGCTTCCCATTGGCAATCACTGTCACAGAACATCATTTTCCTCCCCCAACTCAAGTCCAGGTCAGAGGCAGGCTGGAGACAAGGGACACAGCCACCGAAGACAGAAATTTGTGGCTGAGTTTCCTGGCTCACAGCAACCTAAGACAATCTGTGACCCTAAAAAAATGACCTGTACTCTTGACCAAAGACCTCCCTTTCCATCCATCTTGTTTTCCCAGTGTTTTCAGTCTGTGCCGTGAATCACCTTGAGTGGAAGTCACTGCAAAGAACCTGAAACAAGCCAGTTTCCACGTTGTTCACAGCCAACCAGGAATCACCCTGACAGCCGTCATCTACTACTGAACGAGCGTGTCTCCACGAGGACGCGGGCTCCCGGGGTGGAGGGGGACGGGACCGGCGGTTGGGAGGGCGGAGCTGGCGCTGGGCCCCGGCGGGCAGGCCGGCTTTGCTGCCCGTCGGAGCCTTTGTGGACACACGGCCTCAGCAGTCTCACGAGCAGAGGGCGCTCCCGTCCTGGCTCTGTAAGGCGGGGACTGTCCAGAGAGACAGAGGAGAGAGGACCCCACACCCACTCTAGCAGAGGGGCCCCTTTCCGTCTCTGACTCCCCCGAGGCGGGACCCGACCCGGTGACTCTCCCGCCACCGTCTGCCGCCTCACCCGCCCTGAAGTCCTCGTGTGTGTTAAGGCGAGGTTACCGAGGTCTCATCTGCCCACAGGAATGTTCAGGCCAGCCCACCCCCAGCACCTGCAACGTTCTGATCTGTCTTGGGCTCCTACGGTCTTGCCTTTCTCAGAACGCCACTTTGCATCTGGGTCCCTTCACCGGACAGACGCTGGGAAGACTCATCCCTGCTGGCGCACTTGTCAGTATTCCGTGCCTTCTGGCTGTGGAGGCGTGTTCCACTGAACGGACGTTCCACGGTTTCTTAGTTTGCAGCTGATGAGCAGTCTGGATCTTCCCAGCGTGGGAACACTGTGACTAAGGCTGCCTCGCAGGTCTTTTTGGGGGCACGCGTGTTTAGTTCTTTCTCTTGGGTGATAACTCAGGTGCAGAGCTCCCGGCTCATGTTAATTTTGCAAGGACTTGCTCATTGGCTTCCGAAGTGGCTGGACCAGTTCGCGTTCCCATCGCAACGTAAGGGCCCTGGTCACTTCACCTAGCTGCCAGAGCAAAGTATGTTCATTTAATCAGGTTCAGACACGTTAGTGTGTGTCCCGGGGCACAGCGAAGTGAGGAGCGCAAGCGCCATCTCCTTAGGCAGCTTCCTCGGCGTCTCTGTGCTGCGGTCTGCACGTTCGAGTCCTCCCACAGTCTGCATACTGAAATCTTAATGCCCAGTTTGATGGTGTTAGGATGTGGTGTTGAGAGGTAGAGCCCCCAGGAATGGAAACAGTGCTCGTATAAAGGAGACCCCACACAGCCCTGCAGTCCCCCTGCCCTGGAGACCCAGTGAGAAGCTGGCCGTCTGCAGCCTGTGAGCAAAACCTCACCAGGCTCTCGGGTGTCGGTGCCACGATCTCGGACCCCCGACCTCCAAAACCGCAAGAAATACATGCTTGGTGTTTATAAGCCACCCGGTTCATGCCCAACGCTTTGCGACCCCATGGACAGTAGCCCGCCAGGCTCCTCTGTCCACGGGATTCTCCAGGCAAGAATCCTGGAGTGGGCTGGCATGCCCTTCTCCAGGGGATCTTCCCGGCCCAGGGACTGAACCCAGGTCTCCCGCATGGTAGGCAGACTCTTTACCATCGGAGCCCCCAGGGAGGCCCCATAAGCCACCCAGAGTACGGTGATTTTGTCACAGCAGCCTGAATGGACTGAAGCAGGCTCTTTTCTCTCCACCTGGGGACGTGGTTCCCACTGCTCCGGGGGCCCAAGATGCAGACACACTCTGCCCACACCGCTGGCATCTCCCCTGCTGTCCTGCTGCCCCGGCCTCTGCCAGCCCCAGCGCTTCCTCTCCTTGCCACTGGTGCCCGAGCAGCAGGAAGCAGCCCGCAGCCAGGGGCAGACGGGGAGCCGGTGGACCAGCAGCACGGCGTCCTCACTGTCCTCTGCCGAGGCGGGCGCCTGACGGGTGTGCCACGCTGCCCCCAGGATCCCGGCAGGGCTGGGCCTTGGCTCCCCGCTGGTGACGGGCGTGCGGCACACCCTTCAGGCTTCTTTCTCCTTTCTTCCCGCATCCCCACTTCCTGCTGCCTCCTGTCCCAGCCGTCAGATAGCCTCCTTGCATTTATTTATTTTTCAAAATTAATTATTTTAATTGGAGGCTAATTCCTTTACAATATTGTAGTGGTTTGCCATACATTGACATGAATCCGCCATGGGTGTACACGTGCCCCCCATCCTGGATGCCCCTCCCACCTCCCTCCCCATCCCATCCCATCCTTGGGCCGTCCCAGTGCACCAGCCCTGAGCGCCCTGTCTCAGCACCAGACCTGGACTGCATTGGGTCAGCTACAGGAGGACCCCAAATGAAGACAGCTTTTCTGTTTGCATTCTTTGGGACAGCCTTGCCCGTATGTCTACAGCGCAAGCCAAGTCCTTCTCAGAGGAAGCCCCGGCCGACACCACGAGCAGAAGACAGATCTGGCGGCCTGGAACTAGGCTCCTCCGAGCCACCTGCGCCGAGCCCTCTGGACTGCCTCCATCCGCCACGCCTCCAGGAGACTCCAGGTCTGCTCATTTCTAAAATTCACAGCTAAATATAATTGTGCTTAAGAGCATTCGCTGGGTCTGGGATGATGTGTTCACACCAAGCCAGGTAGCTTCTCAGTCTCCAGCCTCAGTGGCTACGGACGGACCACATCTAGATCAAGCCATCGATGACCTTCACCACAGCGCAGACCAAAGCAACAGGTTACATAAGCAGGATTCACCCAAGTACTTTCCTAAACCTGATAGCTGGGCATACTTTACCTAACGGACTGGAGGAATGCTTTAAGAAAATTAGAAGTCTTGCAATGAGAGTCAGTCTAATATCAGATCAAACTTACTCTGAAGGATCCTCTTTAGCAGCCCAGGGCACTTTTAATACAGCAAAATTGTCCTCTCACAAGCTGGAATCAAGATTGCTGGGAGAAATATCAATAACCTCAGATATGCAGATGACACCACGCTTGTGGAAGAAAGTGAAGAAGACCTAAAGAGCCTCTTGAGGAAAGTGAAAGAGCAGAGTGAAAAAGTTGACTTAAAGCTCAACATTCAGAAAACTAAGATCATGGCATCTGGTCCCATCACTTCATGGCAAATAGATGGGGAAACAGTGGCTGATTTTATTTTTCTGGGCTCCAAAATCACTGAAGATGGTGATTGCAGT